TATATATATATATATATATATATATATACATGGATATCCAACCAAGACTAAATATCAGATTAGGGGACAACTGCACAGTCTTCTGGATGTCAAAAAGAATTAAAACCAATGACCAATTACTTGGTAAACAATATTGTAATGGACTACTTCTGTTTGCTTATCAAGACATATTTTGGGGGTTTTGGAGTTAATTGAACAAAAGAAAAAAATTTTAAGACGCCACTTTCGACTTTGCAAAGTTGTTTGTGTCGGGCATTTTATAATAATGTTTCACACACTAATTAATTAATCAAAAAAGGAAAATAACCATTAGCTGCAATCTTACTGTTCACAGTTTGATATTTTATCTTTTTATTTTCGAGATACAATCATGTACTTAGAGCTACTGCACCTGATCTTGTTGCATGCTGGTGTGATGTCCACGTGCCTGCTCTCCACAGTGCCTCCTGTTGTTTGGGAGGTTGTGTGTCTGCCTTCTGAGACAGCCAGCCCCGAGGCTGATGTCGCCTCGGAGGACACCAAAGACGTCTCACTCTCCTTACCCCCATCCCCGACATGGCAATGGCTCAGAGGCCCCAAGCTGGACACATCCTCAGAGATAGTGTCATCTGTGGACATGTTTATGGGCCCATGCAGAGGGGGTCAGTCTGACAGCTACAAACCAAAAGAGGGGAAACAAGAAGCTGTCAGCTGTGGTGGAAGTACATTTACTCAAGTGCTGTATTTAAACACAGTTCTGGGGCACTTGTACTTTACTTAAGTATTTTGATTTATACTTCTATTCCAACACTGTGCTCTTGGCTGCACATTTTTCTGACAGCTTCAGTTACTTTACAGATGCAGGTTTTACATGCAAAACACATGAAGAATTTATGATGAAATATGAAACACTGTAAAAAAATTAATAAAATAAACTGTCCAGCATAAACAAAATACAATTAACTGTCATTTTTCATGCAGAAGCATTTGATGGTTTCAGCTTCTCCAATGTCATCATTTGCTTGTTTTTCTTGTCTTTAATGACAGTAAGCTGACTACTGTCAGACAATAAACTAAACAACTGAAGCTGTGTGTGCTCTGGGTTATTGGGATTAACACTTCTCATCATTTTCTCATGTTTTACTGAGAAACAATAAAAGGAATGCTCATGAAAATAACCTGCTACTGATTAAAATAACCATTAGCTGCAGGCTTATATAACATAGTTTTAATTACGATGCCACCTCAACTGACTACAGGAGTTAAATGCTGCTTAAGCATTATTACATGGGTAACAATGATATAACACATCATTAAATACACATGGTCTAACTGAGAAACCACATTTACACTTATCAAACCTGGACCTGATTAACGTGTAGACGCCATCAAGTGTTTATTCTGTTTGAGAAAACAGAAAAAGAGCAGTTTCCCCTTTCTTTCTGGCTCAGACCGGGTCCAGATCAGAGACCACTGTATCCAGGTTTGTCAGAACTGGACTAAAGTATAACGCACAGAAGTTGTGTGAAGATGTGTTTAAAACCTTGTTGTATTCGTGAAACCGTTATTCTAACGCTACTGACCGTTAATCCAAGCTTCCCTTATATTGCTGACCCAACTGTCATTCATCTATCAACAAAACACAGACATGAACACAAAACGTTCATGCTGATGTAACAGTGTTACGCATGAGCATCCGCTTCTCTGTTTACGCTCCTTTTCTGTCTGTCATGATGTTTCCTGTGTGTCAGATCTTATTTTACCTATAAATAATATACAGTCTATAGTCTGAACTGTCCGAGTCTGATTAAATGAATACTTGATTAACTTAGCCGACAACAACATCACCAACACAGGACAGACAGATAGCTTAGCCATGCAGCGGTTTTGATATTTAATAATATCAGCTAATATTAACTGCTTTAGCCACAGTGTCTACCGTCTGCAGCACTACTGATGCTGTAGAGTAGACGGTTAAAGTTACCTGTCAACTCCGCTTAGCTATACAGCTAACAAGTTAGCTACAACTACCACTGAGAAGTAAACGGTTAGCTAGCTAGCTAGCTAGGCTGTGCTAGCTTAAGTTGGTTTATTACAGGTGTGTAAGCACAGCGTAGGCATGCTGGACAACACGGATGAAATTATAACACACACAGCCAAAGGACAGACACTGTTTAATAAGAGAGTGACAATCGCTGATTGTTTACATCAAATAACAGTTAACCTACCCGTTGACTTGTACCATTATGTCACCCATATTTCTGTGTGAGTAAACTAGCTGTGGCTACTGCACTGCAGACATCACTGGCTCCTGTAACGTTCACAACGCTATTGGTCAAAATGCAATTGAAATACAAAGCTGTGATTGGTCGTCACCTTCACTCTGTGTTTCTATTGGCTTCTCGGGGGGAAAGGCGTACACATAATTGGGCCCACACAGTCTATTATGGCTGGGCCTAAAGGTGACAGAAGACAAGCTCTGTTAGTTTAAACCAAAGATGTTAATACATTGTTCGAAAACCAGTCTGAAATTTGGTTTCACGGCTTTTTTAATACAGTACAAAAGTTTTAAAAAATTATTATGAATAACTTTAGAGCTGCAACTAATGACCATTTTCATCTGCACAGTTTTGTTTTCTCAATGAACAGATGAATATGTTGGTCTTTAAAACATAACAAAATAATGAAAAATGTCCATCACAATGTTCTAGAGCCCAAAGTGACATCTGGAAATATGTGGGGTTGCCTGACCAATAGTCCAAAACCCAAAGGTATTCAGTTTACTATGATGGTAGGCTGCAAATTCTCAACTTGAGAAATTGGAATCATCAAATAAAATAATAAGGACAATCACCTTTATTTGACCAGTTATGTTACACACAAGGAATTTGTTTCCTGTACAGAACTGAGGCAGCCATCTGCGGCGCCAACTCAACCGATGGCTCTGATCATCAGGGGCAACGAGGGGGTTCAGTGTCTTGCCCAAAGACACTTCAACACGTGGCTCTACCCATTGAACTACAGTTGCACAGTGGAATATTTACTCTAAAATATATTGAAATGATTTAATTATTGTCAAAAATACTATGCTCTATCTACAGTTAGTCATGTTAGTTTTGGAAAAATATTTAGTTATAAACCTAGTTAACATTTTCTGAGAACACTGTTAAAGGACGACTAGAAACTGTACAGATCCAATGAACACCAACTCTAATGCATTGCCATGCCTTTTGGTTCCTCACACAGCACTCTGTTTTTTCCTATCTTTATTTGTCATGTTGCAGTTTTTCTTGCTTTTCTCATACACTGTTTTATTTGAATTGTGTGTATAGCAACCCTTTTAATGTCTTGCTTTTCACTTTCCGTTTTCTGCCGAATGTACTTTTCTGTTGTTGTGTGACAGACAATATCCTCTGGGGACTATGAATATATGCACAAAATTTCATGGAAAACCATCCAATTGTACAGATTTTTCAGTCTGGACCAAAGTTGCTGCCACTTTCAGCGTTTTAAGTACAGGCTTATCAGTGAATGCCTAAAACATAATGAATCACAATGACAACTATATTGAAAATACAATTTATTACACTGAGTAATAAATACATACAAAGATGCAAGTAACAGCATTTTCCTTGTTTTTAATACCAAAACCAACCTGAACACGAACGACCCGGTGCATTTGACACATCTCTGTCCCTCCCCCACTCACTCGTGTGTAACATAGGGTCTGAAAAACAGACCAAATACTATCAAAAACTAGTCTTCTCCATCTACCCTTGTACAAGCCATGCAGTGTCTACAATTAACCCAAAGCCCGTTCACATGCATAAACCAATGTTTTAAATATGAAGTCAAAACTAAGACCCAAAGTGGGGCATAAAAACACATGATACCCTCTCATCTGATTTCCAACACATTATTTAAATGATCCTCCAGAACCTCCGGGAGTCAGAGACCGCTGTTGTTGTTGTTGTTTTTATCTAAGAGCTTGCTTTTCCATCCCCTGTTCATTTACTTCCTCCTCTCAAAGGAAATGCCATGCAAGTGATTTTTTTTTTCATGAGACACACACTGTTAGTTCTTCTTGCAGGGAGGAACGTGTGTTTGTAGCTAGGACCTCGCGTTTCTCTCCGTTTCAGCCAAACATTCACGCACCAGCCCTCTGGCATGGATTATTCCTTTGAAGAGAGAAAAACTTTAAATTAAACACAACTACGCTGTATGTTTTACACTTGCACACCGGTGTTTCTACTGTAGTTACCTCTTTTCAGTCTCTCCATTGCACTCTTGCTTCCAGCGTACGTGGGCCTGATCTCCTTCCCGAGCTCTTCGATGATGGCCAGCAGCTCTGCATATTTGTTCTGAGGCACTTGGCTGCCAGTAGAGCCCTGAGGTTCAACACAGCAACATGAGCCAGGTTCAACTTATGTCACATGGTTTCTGGTTTTGGTACATGGCAGACTCTGACACAGAACCTTATAGTAAGTTACAAGCAGACACTTGTGACTTTGGGGCAGGTGTTAGCTGCTTCTCTCTGAAGCTAACCCCCTCCCCAGAAAAAAAAATGCACACAAGTATTGAAATAGGTATTACTGAAGGCCTTTGTGGTCTGAGAGTATTCCTGGGGCGGTGAACAGGGGTGTGTCATGGACGGATTATGAACCAAACGGCACCTGGTCACACATATTTAAAAGGCCCCACCACACTGTTAGGAGCAAGACTCACAGATTGCACAACCATGTGAGCTGCAGTCATTTTGTGTCTTTTGTGTGTATTTGAAGTTGTTTTGCATGTGTTTTAATCAATTTTGTGTTCATTCTTACTTGTGTTCTCTTTGCTGCTATTTCGAACCTATTTTCAGAAGTTTTGTGTCTGTTTTTGTCACCTCGCATATTTTGTATAGTTGTTTTACTGTTTTCGGGTCTTTTCTGTCTCTTTTTAGTGGTTCTGAATCTCTTTGGAGCCGTTTTGTATATATTTTTCCTCACTTTCTGGCTTTTGTAGGAATCGTGTCGTATTTGAGTGACTTTCCAGCACAAAGGTTAACAGTGCTACTGTTTATCTACTTTATATTTCACTTGTGTTGTTTGGCATTCATGTGGATGGCAAAGTAAGAATTTCATTGTACAGGGAAACAAGTTTCCATACTGTGCATATGACAAATAAACACTTTGAATCTTGACTCAATCCCCTCATGGTTCTCTGGTCTAGGGGTCTCCTGATCCCCAGCTCTGAGCACACACACTAATTATTGAGTCAGGAGATGCTGTTTAGCCAGATTTCAGTGAGGCAATCGAGCTAAAACTGTAAGTGTGGGGGAAAAACATTGAGGGGGTGCGTCATTATGCTATTATAATAATAAAATTCTAATCCACACGTTTTTACTTTCTAAGGTGTTTTAATAAATACTTTCATTATTAGAAACTAAATGAAACATGTCTGGGACAATCAGATCGTCAGTTTCAGTGCAGTTACCTGTGAGAATCCCAGAGACGGAGGTCCGTAGTCGCTCAGGAGGGGCCTGTAGGACTGCAGCGTGGCCAGGTTCGCTGCGGACGCAGACTGAAGGGGTCCAACTGTCGGCACATCAAACATTAGAGGTTGGCATCAGTCAAGACTCAGAGTGCCAGTGTTTACATTGTTTGTCTGTGTATGGTCACAATGGTGCAACTTCTGATTATGGATTAATCTTTAGTCTGTAAAAATCCATAAAATAAAACTCTCAAAACATAAATGCAATCCAAAGTCTGTTGCTCAAGTACTGTACAGGTACTTATACTTTACATAAGTATTTCAATGTCATGCTACTTTACCCTTCTACTCCACTACATTTCAGAAAGAAACACTGTGCTTTTTACCCCATCACATTTATTTGGTGTTTTAATGCTTCATATAATCAACTAACTTTTGTTGCTTTAACACTTTTACACTTTTAAATGCTTGTACTATTTCCTGCTACATTTTACTCTACTCTTTTTCTCTTAGGAAATCCACCAGCTACCCAGCAGTTTGTAAAGTACTTCAAAGTATAGCCTATATAAGGTAGTTAACATCAGCTGCAACATTAAAAAGTTAATTATAATCCAATAATGTCACAGGCATTAATGTGAAATGTGCCATTATGCAAAATGAGTAGTTTTCATTTTGTTACTTTTATTTAAGTAAACTTTTGAATGCAGGACTTTTACTTGGAGTATTTTTACACTGTAGTATTACTACTTTTACTTGAGTAAACATTCTTTTACCGCTGATTGTTGTAAACATTTTAACTCTTGCTCTTGATTTTAACTATTTTATTCAGTTTCAACGTAACGTGCCTTGAGAGCTGCTCTATAAATAAGATTATTATTATCATTATTATTATTATTATTATTATTATCATTATTATTGTTGGGTGCCTGTTTGTGTTTTGCTCCTCCACAGTGTCCTGCTCCTCTGCTGCAATGTTCCGCCTCCACCGCCAGGTGTCCTCAAAGAGTCATAAAAACATTCAGAGCAGATCAATCAGCAGCTCCGACCGAGGAGCATCATGGAGGAAACGGAACAAGGCTGGCTCAAGAAGACACAAGTGATACATTTTTGTCACCGTGTAGCGGCTCCCCCCCGGCGGGACCAGGACCCCGGACGACGGACAATCGCACCGGAGGAACCGCCGCCTTCTCGTTTCTCGTCCCCGGCGTGTTTCTCCGCCGACCGATATCACGGATGGCGCTCTTTTACATTAGTAATAATGGCGGATATGAATTAGCCTAGCTCCCAGGATCTGACCCTATATATATAACTGGACAAAAACTACAGACACGGTCTTTCTCCAGGTATTCTCCGAGATCCCGAAATTAACACTCGATTTAACGGACGGATACTTTGATTTTCTCCCATATTTTCTCCTTACCCTGGTTCCCAGAAGTTCCCGGAATGTGCTGATGGACATTGGGTTTATAAGACATTCCCAAAGACATTGTAAATTAAAGAAATAAAAATGACCCGAAATTCAGTGAAGCGTCTGTCTCTCACTTTTTGTTTACAACAGCGGCGCCGGCAAATATGGCCGTCACTTTATATTGACACCCACCGTGCTTTTAACACTGCTACTATACCATTATCAAGAAACGATTAAAAACGGGGTTTTACGACAAAGCGGCGACATTCACACACGGTTTCACTCGCTTTTACACACATTTAACAAATCCATTAACGGGAATCAGAAGGTCTACTTTAAAGTGCACTTTTATCAGACTTTCTCTTTTTAAAAAGGCCATGTTTTAAACACGTCTTCGCACATGTGAACTGCCTTCTCTCACATTTTAACGCTTCTTCTTATATTTTTACACCGCAATAAAAGGCAGAAACTGATTTTAAATGCGGGAAAGGTAACTTTGTGTAGGAATGTGTAATTTCAGGTTACATCTTACATTAACCCAGCAGAGTTAATTTAGTAAAAATGTTAGTTTCAGTCAAGTTTGGCTTTGCTCCCAAAGACAAAAGCTGGAAGCAGGTCGCAGATACCTGTCTTTGTCCAGTGCTTCCTGCACTCATGTATGAGTATGTGCAGCTTTGTCATTAAACAAAAGAAATAAAAAATAACTACAGACCCAACCACTACTTACTGACCTGATTAGGTCCCATACATCTCGTTTTATTTGCTCATATTTTTATATTGACTTATACAATTGTGTGTTATGTAAATAATGTGTGTCTTTTAAGACGAGAGCTGCCGGAAAAAGCATCCTTGTGCAATGCATAATGACAATAAAGAATGTTGACTTAGTTTGGGAGGCGTGTGGCTGTGGCTCTCAGCAGGACTTGGTTAAACCGTCTGTGTCCCCTCAGTGTCCCTGGGCCACATGGTTGGACACACTTTGGTCCAGTCCTGGATTCAGTGACTGAAGGCACAACAAACAGTGGACAGTGCTGTGATATAGGAAGATTGTACTTTACTACAGTATATTTCCAGGTTATGCTGTGCCTTTATACTTTGAAAGGCGAGTGTACTTTTGCTTTTAAAAGGCAAAAATTCTAAATTTTGCTTATTAACATTAAACTATTGCCTACTTGAAGTACCAAAAGTAACAGTAGTCATTTTGCAGAATGGCACATTTCACATTAATGTATATTATTGGATTATAATACTAATGCATTATTGTGTACATGACTTTAATGGTGCATCCATTAAAGGTGGAACTAATGCCAACTACCTTGTATACTTGTACTGTGAAGTACTTTACATCCTGCTGGGTAGCTGCTGAATTTCCCCATCAAGATCACGAAAGTGTTTTGTTTGATTCATCTGAAAAGTAACTAAAGTTATCAAGATTTGTCTCTGACGTGTAGTGAAGTCCGAGTATGAAGTAGCAGAAAATAGAAGTACAGCACTTAAGTAAATGTACTTAGTTACTTCCCACCACCCCATTTCCCAGAAAGCACAAGTTGTTAATTCAACACCGAGTTATGGTTAGAAAGGAGACGTCTGAGGCTAAAAAATCTCCTTTATGTTTGCAACATAACGTGTAATATCATCTCAAATCATGTCAAATACAAAGTCAGTCAATAAACATTTACTTGAGAAAAAGATTTGAATTCTTCCACCATGTTATTTCATCAATATTATCATTAAACCAAAACGCTCAGTGCAATAACTGAATACATCTCATACAGGCCTGTTTCTTGCATTGTTTACTGCCTGTTTATACTGCTTATTTTGCACAGTTTGCTGCTTGTTAATACTGCTATTTTTGGTATATTACACAGCCTTATGCTACTTACTGTTTACTTGCCCCTTGCCCTGGTCTCTATTTTTATTCTACTTCATTCCCATTATTTCATCTCGATGAGCATGTCCCCGTCTGTCTGCATTGTTTTGTTTTTACTGCTTAATTTTGCATCCCTTGCTCAGGTTGTTGCTTGTTAATACTGCTTATTATTTTGTTATATTACACAGCCTTATGCTAATTTGTTTACTCGCCCCTTGCATGGGGATATGTATATACACATTTAGAGCCGATGTACCAGTCAAAGTCCTCGTGTCTGACACACCTGGCCAATAAAGCTGATTCTGAACTAATGAAAAATCTTTTATCTTTGCTTATTTTTAATGAGACTGCTTGAAACCACACTATTTTTTGCAAATGTCCTAAACGTTTCACCCACTTTCAATGGTGGAAAAAGTTTTTGTGTGTGTGTGTGGGGGGGGGGAAGAATACAATTGAATCAACTTTATACATGTCCAAATAAAATCAATATCACAAGCAAAAATAAAACATGATACAGTAGTGATAGAACAGGCTCATTTGGAATCATGTTCACTTTTGTCTCATGAATATTTTGTAATTAAATTGATTCCCGGGGGGGAGGGGGGGGCTGCCAAGCTTTATTGAACATCGCACTCATTCACGTACAGGTAACATTGGATTGTGGTCAGTAGTGCAACAATAAAAGGAAAAGGGGGGGAAGTCCAAGTGTTCCACCTTCGGAGGAGCCGCCTGTGGCCAGAACGTCTCACAAATCAAAAACAGGAGGCGTTTGCCCAGACACCGATCAGGCATAACATTATGACCCCTTGTACATGTGTGAGATTGTCAAATGTATAAACTCAATTCCATGTTCATTATTGAGGTCACTGTTAAAGGTGGTGTTGTACTGGACTACATTATATTCAGAGGCGTCTATATTTTTGTCCTGCCCATTGACATAGATGAGAGGGTCAGAATATTAGGAACACCTCTGAATATAATGTAGTCCAGTACAACACCACCTTTAACAGTGACCTCAATAACGAACATAGAATTTATACATTTGACAATCTCACTAAAAACAAACATTGAGCTTCATAAACACAAATATTAAGACAGAAGTGTTGCACTGAAGTGCTACAGATGTACAGGTGGTCATAATGTTATGCCTGATCGGTGTATGTGCAGTCAAGTTAACAGAGTTGGATCAGACAGCAGCCCTCAGACAGCTGAGACGTGCTGCATGATGACTTTCAGTTTGGATCCTTTCACAACTTGTGCAAACTGCACGGTGGTATGATACAAAGACGACGACTTTCTTATTTCACTCGTTTAAATTTAATGCAGATGATTGCATCAATCAAGAACAGCTGAGAAAACTATTCATTACAGCATCTACTCCACAGGTGTATCTGGGCACAATGAGCAAGAAAACTTACTTTACAGACCAGATACTTGGACAGTTCATGTGTCCAGGCTTAGGCCCCTTCCAGTGCAGACTAAGTATAATGCAGGATACACCTGGAGGCAGAGGATTTAGATGCGTTTGAGACATGTACTGTGAAATACAACATTACGAAGCAGAGGTGTACAAGGAGTGCTAATCATGCATTTTTGGATACACTAAGATTTTCTCTTTTGTTTTTCAAACACCTGAGCAGATTTCCATTTAAACAAAAAAGCAAAAGAAAGAAAAATTACTCTTAGAGTACAGCGACCGCCTTTGTCACAGACGTGCATTTAACATTCCTCTGAATTCCGTGGCTGCTTTATCGTGCGTCTCTTGCGGTTTCTCCAGCTGACCAGGATCTGACTGAGCGACAGTCGAGGTAAAGACCAAAGGTGCTTTGTAAAAACAGCTACAACACCGGTGACGACACCAAGTCCCAGTTCAGCACATAGAAACACTTAATAAATGGTTATAACACTAATCTAACGGTCAGCAGAGTTAAGTGTTTACTTGTCAACAACTAGCTGCTCCTGTGGATGGCAACATGTGGGCACTGCTGGATAAACTAATAATGAATGACCATATGTCGCTGTGATAATTAAAATACATCTCTGTAAGAGAAGCTATAATTGCTGACAAACGCTGTACATTAATAAACATTTACCCTTGTAACTGATTACATTATAGTGTCAAACAATGTGTTAAATGTCTCAGTGCTGCTTATACAAACGCTCAACGGCAGTAAGTTACCACGTTCTCAGGTGTAATGGACACCGTGCACTGCACGTTGTCTGAAAAGAAACCTGGTGTCATGAGAACACAAACTTAACTCATTTCTCAAATATCCGTCTGTTTCAGTCTCTGGGAAACATTTTCTATAAATGGAAAAAGTTCAACACCACAGCCGAGTCTAAAACCAACAAACCTGCTGTGTTAGAGCCCGACTGCAGCTTCACATCTGACAAAGCTCTGACAATGAGGAGCAAATTATGACATTTGATACAAAACTAAGGGAAAATGATTAAATTGAGATCCATGTGCAAAACAAACTAAGTTGCCATTTTACTAGGTACACTTAACTCAAACTAATGCACTAATTCAAAAGCGCTGCAAATAACCCTCCATTCACAAAGGCTATGGTTTGTTGAAACTGTTCTATAGAGGTGCTGAATCAGCTGTTTGAACATTATGGAAGAGGTGGTGTATGGTCCGACCTACCCTACATTATACCACCTTGTTTCTCCATCATTTGACCATCCCCGGCCACAACGGTGAGGCTAAGTAACAAACACCTTTCACTGTAGAGCAGCGATTTCAACAGCTGCCTCCAAAATGATGACAGGTGAATCAACACCTGGTGAAATGGGGCTGTTGCATTAGTTTTAGCTTGGTGCACCCACAGTGTAGATCCAGTGAATTCTGGCAATGATATTTTGGTCTTCGTCTCAGGAGCGAACATAAAAGATACGGAGCATCTGAAAAACGGTACACATCAGGTTTTCTGCAACTAACTGGACTAATGTGTCACTGTTTCTACTTCAGAGACACTGACTCATGTCTGAGGAGTGAAAACATTTTCATCAGGTATTACTATAGGACTGTAGTTCAGCATTAAAAGACAGTGGTCTTTGTCTTGTCCACCTTTGGCCTGGACCAAACAACTTAAAGCACGTGTTTAGAGTTAATAACCCCACAGCCACAGACCAACATGCCCTGTGTGTCTACGCTCTGTCTTGATCAATAAGTCACAATCTTTTCCACTCTGAATGTCAGAGGACAATACATCACCTGTCAAATCTGTCAAGGTGAAAACAAGAGTCTCTGAAGAGTCAAATAAAAAAGATAAACCCTGAAGTCTTTTCTATGTACAACCACTGCTTTACATCTAAGAATCACCACAGCTCAGTGTGGTGTCTGACCCTCTGAGAGAGTGGGGAGGTGTGAGGGTGCAGAACGAGGGACAGTACTCCCAAAGCCTGCAGTGCAGAGACAGCGATATCCCCCCTCTGGAGTGGGAAATGAACTCGAGGGGTGAAGATGTGGTTCAAGCCCATGAAGCAGAGTGGTCCATCCCACACTATGTGTTGGGTACGTGACTAAGACTTTGAGGGTGGAGCTGCTGCCGCTTCTGCTGCTCCTGCACAGCGAGCTGCTGGCACTGGTCTGACGTAGAGAGCTTGTTTATTAATGGAGACACACAGTTCGCTGGAATGATCAGTCCTGTGAAAGAAATAGTGTCGTGAGTGAGTCATGAGCCTGCAAAGACAAAAACAAAGGCACAAGTAGTTTGACATTTTTGGGAAATGCACTTAGTCGCTTCCTTGCTGACAGTTAAAGGAGGCCGATACCATCATGCACATGCACTGATTACTAAACATATTTAGGTGTGTCTATATTTTTGTCCTCCCCAGCTACATACATGAGAGGGTCAGAATGTTAGGAACACCTGAGTATAATGTAGTCCAGTACACCACCACCTTTAACTATGATCTCAATAATAAATGTATAATTGAATTTATACATTTGTTCACTAAAAACTGAAACAGGTTGAGCTTCATAAACACAGAGATGGAAGTGTTGCACTGAGGTGCAGGTGTGACTTAATATAGCTGGCAGCTTCAGAGACACAAAGGCGACACTGCTCTGAGCCAAGAAACAGCCTCACACATAAACCCTGTTACAAACACAACTTGTCGTCCTTCACTTAAGCAAGATGCAGCATGTTCAGTAGAGAAGTTATACAGGTGCTGTTTGGCAGAACCAGGCTAACTGTCATCCCTGTTTACAGTCTTTATACTAAGCCAATATGCTGCTGGGTGTGGCTTCACGTTAAGATAGCAGTATAAATA